GCGGCGCACGGTGCTGCGCTCGCGCGCGCCGCGCCGCGTCGTCCGGCGCGCGTCGCCGGCGCCGCTCCACGACGCGCGGGCCCAAGAACACCCCGGAGGTGCAGCGCTGCGGGACAAGCACGCCGCGCGTTTGCTGGCGCGCGGCCGCCGCGCTGCCCGTGGTGCGCCACAATGCACGCCGCTCTTCCCGTACCACACGGCGGCGAGCCTCGGCCTGCACGACATGTGGCGGGCACGCGCGCGCCGTGTTCCAGTGCGAGCACTGCGACCTGCGCTTCCGCACCGCTACCAGGTGGTGCTGCACGCCAGCCGCGAGCACGTGCGCGCCAACGCGCCCGTCGAGCCCGCGGCCATCGTGGTGCCCGTGGTGCCCGCCAACGTGTGCGAGCCCATCCTGTCAGTGCCTGAGCCGTTGAAGGAGCCGCCGCCCATCTTGTGCGACATGCCGAAGCGTACCTGCCCTTCCGCCTCCTCCTTCCTTCTCGAACATGCAAGTACCTGATTCGCTTGGCGCCCCTGGGCGACAAGGTCCCACATGCCACAGGACGTGAACCTGCGCGAACGGCCGTGTCCCATGGAAGACTCGCCCAACGCTCAACACGCCCCGCACCGCGTCTGCGCCCCCGCGCCTCCGTGGCCCCGCCCCCCGCTCCCGCCGCCTCCCCGCCCGCCGCGTCCTAGGCCGTCGGTCTGTACCCGTGGGGACCCGGCGAGACGGCCGTCCGTTCGCGCCTGTACGAACCCAGCCCGCTTCCTTCATCCGCGCGGCCGACGGACCTGGGTTACTTACTTATGCCCGAACACGCCACGGACACGGACAAACGGGTGAGACGTAGATCTACTTCGGTTAGGCTTTTCGAGTGTACTATCGGCTGTGACGGTCTCCACCAGCGTCGCCGGCAGCGGACGACGCGAGAGGCGTAGGTTCCAGGGCCGGGAGCTCGACTGCGCGTCGCGCAGTGGCGGTGGTCGGCGGCGGCGACCCCTCGGGGGGTCGTCCCCCGTGCCCCCGGCGCGCTCCTCCATCCCCGTCGCCCTGCCCCCATCCCCACCCGCCCAACCACCGCAACCGGGTTCTTTCCATGATACAGGCGACTTGAGGCCGGCAGCCCGCGCCGTGGCCAAGGACCTCACAGAAGCGTCGTCGTGGTGTTTATGTGTATTCGTCTTTTTCTTTGTGTGTCACCGTGTTCGGAATGAGAAATAAATACGTAGATTTTGATATCACGAGTTTTACATAGCTATCTTGCATTCATTGACCCCTTGCTATGTTTTACATTCAGATCTGAATATCAATGTAGAGAGATATTTTGTTCATAAACGTTTTGTTAATCTTTTCTTCATTGATATGATCTCTAGAAAATTTATTATATAGATCATAGGTTTTTGTAATCAGTGCCGGATTTCCCAAAAGGCTGAATAGGTTGTTTCCTTGTAAGGGGCTCGTGATTTTCGGGCCTCGAACTCTCGGCACCAGATATATTTTTAAACGTGCATTATGAACGCATGTGAAAATTTATTTAGAATAACTTCATAAGCCATTCGTTGTTATAAATGCAAATATAAAATTTTTATTGACGTTTCGCATTGAACTGCGTGAAACTTGTAAGATATAGCTTTATACCGATTCAGAATATTCGATCTCAGTGCTGCAGGTTAAAAGATGCAACTAGTTCCATTTTATCGGCTTGTTAGTTTTATTCTGCAATGCTGAGTCCGATAACTGGAGTCGGATACTTCAAACAATTGTATTCAACATAGAACAAACGACAAATTATATTTTTGAAATCGAATTACTCTTTTATTTATCGAGAATTAACCTCTATAGTTTATATTTTATTAATATCGTTGTTTGGGCGCATTTCGTCCGTTCTGTAGTTCACAAAATATGCATCACAAATTTCACACCTACATTTCTAAATTTGAGCATTCTTTTGGGTCTTTTAATCTTATGTCCAAAGTATTCCATCAAATCCTAGAATTTATATATATAAAAAAGAACAATAGGTCTCTTTCAATTATTCCTTCCAGCCTAAACGCTCACAATAGGTAAATCTGGCACTGCTTGTAATGATCATTATCTGGTATGTCGTTTGCCATCGAGTCACTTATATTTTAAATCCACTTTTGTACATTTTGTCGTTATTGTAAGTCATTGATACTAAAATAAGATTTTTTTAAAAACTTGAAAAGGCATTTTAGAAACTGGTCAGATGTTTTCTGACGCATATAATATACAGGAATCATGAATGTTAAAATGTTTTTGAATTATTATTAAATGTTTGAATGAAGTTTTTTGTTGGAGTAAATTCATGTTTTGTAAAAATAGGCCAAACAGCTGATGTTTTTTGTAAAGATTATGCTTCTCTGCTTCATCGTTGTATGTTTATAAGAAGTATGGTTTGATGTTTCTCCTGTAGCCAGGGGCGTACAGGATGGGAGTGAGGTGAAAGAACATTTGACGACCGTTCCCTGTACAAAATAGCAAAGCAAAGGTAGTGATTTTATTCACGTTAGAAATCTGTATTTAACATACTGTCAGTAGATTCATATGACTATGGGAAACATAGACCCTCTGACTTGTGCCAAACTTGATGTTGGTTTAGCAATGTACTGTGTGTCCTCAGCTCCTCCTGAAACGTCGTATTTCCTAGTACGCCCTTGCCTGTAGCCAGAACTGGTTCATGATATATGAAATGAGTGTACAGTTGGTTAAGCTGATTATTTCTATTTACACTGTTTTATTAGGCTGATAATCTTTACTTTACATTGATGTTATTATTTTTCATTTAAAATGTATGTTTACATCTCCGGATAAAATGTAAAATGATTATTCTAGGAGATTATCTTGTGTAGAGCATTTGCATAGCAGCAGTGTTCTGGAGCTCCAAAGATTTCAAAGTTCACTATGTACTCAAAACATTTTACAGCATGCACCAATGGACACATGAATTATTTTTGCATAAGTTGTAGAAAAGAATAACATTTCAGTCACAAATGTTCATGTGGGCATTACACAAATACATTCTTGGTACATGTTCTTTTATAATTTCTTGAAAATAAAGTGAACTTTATTAATACAGAAGCTGTTTTTTATTGTTATTCAGTGACTGCATTGAAAGGGTTGTTTGCATTTCTCAATTCCAGGAAGAAGTATTTTTTATACTTTGGCATGTATGTTGAGAACTGGAAAACGTGATCAGTGATGTAAAACTAAACTGTATCATCAATTTTTGAATAAAATACCCAGGTACTATCCACCTTTGTCATGTTACGTTTGATGAAAGATTTAAGTTTGATGCAATTTATTAGGTACAGGTTGGCCACTTTCTGGAAAAAAAGGAAAACCGCAAAAAATCAAGGAATTACTTTGCTCCACAAACGTCAGTGAATTTGTAGAAGAATCGTTAAAGTCGGGGAAAATTATGATATAAGTAGACGTTATTCACTAAACAAATATCCAGTAGAATATAATGACTCAATTTTTATTGATGGAGAATTTTTTTTCAAATTTGTATTTCATCTCTGAAATCAGAGCTGACAAATTAGTATTAGGCTAACGTTGACATTTTTTTAAAAAAATAGTGTGAAATTACTAATCTCACAAGTGCAAAAACTTTTCAAACGCACGGGAAAACCAGGACAAGTCAAGGAAATTTATTTCAGAAAATGAGTGGCCACCCTGTAAGAAGGAATCGATCTAACGCAATTTAATTACAAAATCTAACTGCCCATAATAAACATATTAAAATTGTCCATAAACTAGTACTATTGTAAAACTTTTTTTTATTCCAGAATTATAAACGCCCTTTTTCGTTAGAAGAAATCGTTCATAAAAGGGTATCTTAAGGTACAGATTATGATGGCGTTAGAACATTTAACACTTTTGGTATTAAGAAACCAGAAAATGTGTATTCTAACAAAGTTACTAGAGAAAGTAATTTAGTTATTAGAGAAAGTAAGTTAGTTATTAGAGAAAGTAATTTACAACATAAGAGATCAAGAAAAATCCTCGGTTATGGTGCCAAGGAGCCAAAAGAATAAACTGCAATTTTCGCTGCCGCATTACGTAATGTTCTATTTATTTCATATTAATCCACATACTGGTAGTTTATATAAAGCCTCAACAGATTCACAATTTTCTAAAAAATGACACCAAATTATTTGATTAAAATTTGTTCCCGAATAGCGTAAAGGAGTGTTAAGAGAATAGTGAAGATCTAAATATTGTTGAATTTGTGATTTTACTTTTTGGTATTTATTTCGTAAGAAGGTAATGTATTGTAATCGTGCGCCGGAAAACGGCAAATTTTCGATATAACAAAACTTATTGCTGGGCCCTTGTAACGAAAAAGTGAATATATTTTGTTCCTATATATAATAAATTAATTCCTCTAATACGTTGTATAGTCAGAATCCAGATGTTGTGGGTCCTTGATACCGAAAAATAGTTTGACAGCAAAACGTCTTGTCAGTGGTCAACGCTAGCACTAAAACCATTCAGACGATATTCTTCAAGAATAATATTTCCCAATCGATCTACAAGAACTGGAGGCCCTGAGAGTTTGAAAAGTATATTTTGATTTTGGGGATACTTTACATGCAGCCTCAACTAAAAATTCTCAAAATGGCTCCCTTTTTTTTAATGAACTTTGTTCTCGGATACCTCAAAGGAACTGGAGGAGTTACAACAACGTATACTTTCTAGCATTTTTGGAAACAATTACGAAATACTGCAATTTTTTCCCCACTAACACCTCAGTTAAACTACATGAAAAAGTCCAATTTAAAAAATGGCAATAGTGCATATCTATATTAATTTCCATTGTCAGGAGCAGCGATCATTTCTTTTATTACTCGCGTAACTTTTCTTGGACGATGACCTTGCTTCCCCCTCTCTGAAACAATAAACAGCTGAAGACAAGAGCTCGCAGTGTGCACTGATGACAACATTTAAAACACACCTTCACTAGCTCAAAATTGAAACTATTTTCCGTTGAAGACAAGAACTTCTGACCGTGATTTTCTCAAAATAATAATAATAATAAATAAATGACCAAAGCAGGCAAAGAGTCATCACAGGAAATACCTCGAACTCCTGAGAAAATTAGAACGCAAATTATTGAGAAAGTTGCGAAGGCATGACTGATTCTCCAGAGATTGGCATTGCTTCATAAAATCTAGCGATCGATTTCGTAATTAATACCCCCACTCTACCTGCATTTTTTGAATCCATCATTCAAGAAAAGTTGCGCGAGTAATACCAGCAAAGGTATCTCATCACTGTAGTGCCTCTGACTGGGAGACCCTGGTATTATGGCGTCTCGACGGTGGCAGGATATTCGACACTAAGTTGTCACCACAATCGAATTCAATCGTTGTCTGGAGAATTCTAGCGGTTGGCTGCTCCGGTCGGTAGTTTCCCGTGGATTCTTCGATCAACACCAGACAAATGCCGGAGCAGTACCCTAACAAAAGGGCTATGACCTTCCTCTTCCTTGACCTTTTTCCTCACACCTTTTCACACTCAAATGCACTACACTACCACCAGTCGGGAGCATAGAGCGTTTCCCGGCTGAGGCCATACTACGCTGGTGGGAGATACCTTGATGGGTAAATCGCCGCAAAACCGACGTATGTCGGCGCCAAATCGTAGCATTCAACGTGGGAAGATCATAGACACCTCCAGAAATATGAAACATGCACTGCACATACGGGACTAATGACCGTAGGCGTTCACGCGCCCGGAATCAATAACCAATCAGTGATTTCTTACTTTTACAAATGAAACAAATTGGAATAAATTTTACTATTACAGTATTTGCAGCACGTTATACAGAAAAGCAAGAATAATTTCACACAGGTTTGCGTTGATTACTTCGCCAGAATGTAGCCTCCTGGTGTAGCCAAAATTTCATGTGCGGTGGATCCGTTATATTGAAAACTTAATTGACAGCAAATCGTCTGTCTGTCCGTCTGTAATGAACGCTAGAGTCTCTAAACCGTTTATCACTTTCTCGCGCTTATGAAGGAATTTCTTAAGAAGAGAAAGTTATGTAATGCTGCGCGAAAAATGGCGAATTTTTGGTAGATAAAATCTTATTACAGGGACCTGGTAACGAAAAAAGTGGATAAATCCAGATGCTAAATTCACAAAAAAAACTCCTTTAACACGTGTAGCCAGAATCCATTCTTTATGGGTCCATGATACCGAATTATCGATTGACGGCAAAACGCCTGTCTCTTTGTCCGTCTGTGAACAATGCTAGCTATTAAACCGTTCGGCCGATTTTCTCCATAATTGATGGTTCTCAATAGATCTGGCTGATGTCGAGGTGTCCAGAATTTGAAACAGATATTTTAATTTTGGGAATACTTTACATGAAGCCCCTGGAACATTTTCAAATTTTATTCAAAAAAATGACGATATCGATTATGAATAAATTTTGTTGTTGGATAGAATGAAGGACGCTTAAGAGAGTGGCACAGGTCCTTTGTTGGTTAAAAACATTCATTTTTTTAAAAAGTGCAAAAATTCAAAAAAATGTCGGCATTTTCCTGCAATTACAATTATGAAGATACATTTTTTAAATGAAATGTGTTAATCAAAAACATCTTCAAATAAAGTCAAGTGGAATTTTTCGAAAATATGAGTATTTTTTAAGTATCTGGGCGTCAAACTTAGTCACCAGCTCTGAAAATCCGGCGTTTCGTGATTGTTATTTAAGAAGTTTTTTGAGGTAATTGGATGCAACGTGAGTTAGATTGTTTAGGAACTTATGTTATACGTTTACAATCATTTAAAACCTACCCAAATGTTTCCTTCAAAATTTTTGCACGGATTAAAAAAGTGACGCTTAATTGGTACAAGTCCTATTTTTGATTAATTTTCTGAATTTTTTTTAAATTGCAAATTTAGAAAAATTCGAGAAAGTGCGGTTTCAGCACCACTAATTTTTAATAACACGTACGTAGGTGGTATAACTTTTGTATTATAGTATGTAGGTGCAATGAACGTTATGATTTATAAAAAATATTAATTCTAAATAGAGCAATTGTTGAAGTCTCTCTGAAACGAATTGATGACGTAAAACTGTGAAGGCCGTTGCACATTATCCAGCAACGCGCTATCAAACATTCTTAGAAAGGGATTGTGGGGGGAACACTTCAATGAACACGTGCTCGACATGAGCGATGATGCAAGAATTCCTACGCTTAGAATAATCCTTCTATGAGTAACTTTTCTTCTATGCTTTCAACAAATTATATAAGGAAACTAACAAATGCTCAACAGACTTGAAATATTTGGAGACTTTGGTCACACGGTTTATATTAATTCAACCATCGATTATTCACTATCATTTCCTAATTGTAGAACTGAAATACTACTCTAAGAATATTATGAAAGAGTAAAACTTCTTCACATAAAGGAAAATAAAAAATGTTTTGAAAATTTGATGTCGTTTTTAAGAAAATGTTTATGTGTTACTGTGAATGAGAAATTTGAAGCTCTTATTCATAGAAACAGCGTGGGTTTTCGAAAAACATGATTGGAAGTCAGCAAAGAATACAGCAAAATGAATTTTATTTAATCTCAAATAGTGCAATTAGCACTATCCTCACGTTAAGTTTAAAGAAAAAAATTGTAATCCTTTTTAAGAAAATTGCTTCTGAGCTTTCTTAAAAATGCAGAATTTTGAGCTCATTTTCACAGAAAACTTCCAAGTTTACGAGAAACTCAAATGTAATAATGTGAAGAAGTCGCCGCTATTGTAAATATTAACAACGTGAGAGACAATTCAAGAAGATTCCATTTTTGTAATTTTAGGAAAAACAACAACAAAAGGATAGAGCAATACGGCGTTTATGTCATCTTATAGAGCATATTTAGCACAATCCCTACCAAAATTTGAAAGAAAAAAATTGGAGTCGTTTTTGATAATATTTTGTTTTTGTCATTTTTCATTATTGCACATACCAAACCCATTATTGCGCAATAACTACTCAATCTTTTTAAAAAATGTACATGACCTTCGTTAAAGAACTATGAAGAAAAAATATTTAAAGGAATAATCTCTATCTTCACATTTGTAATAGTAGGATCACGCCAAAAAAATTTCTGACTTTTGAAATTTAAAAAAATTCAGAGTTAACAGTGAAAAACTGACCGATGCAATCTTTATAAGTTGTTTTACTTTTCTCTTTCAAATAATGTAAAAAAAATGGTGCCATTTTGATAAAATTTTGAAAATGTCCGGGAGGCTTCATGTTAAGTATCCCCAATATTAATAAAACTTTTTCAAAATCGCAGAGCTTTGA